TTGAAAAAAAAGTTTCAGATTTAACGATCGCCTCTTCATTCGGTGCAAGTAACTTCATAGCGACAGTTATTTGGAGATTTGAGAAAAGGAAATAGTTGCTGGGGTTCAATTCTTCAAACAGCACTCTCTTCTKCTTCGAATAGACAAAAAACGATTTCGTCATTCAAGCGGTCCAATAATGCTATCTATTACTTCTCGCTGTTGAAGGCCTTTCAAATTTCTATGCGCATACCAAATACATACGGTATGTGGACAGTCTACTTAGTTGACTGTGAATTGGACTTCGGAGTGAAATGATGGAGCCATATGTTATCCATACCAGACCCTAATATTCGTGATGATAAGTTTTACACATTCAATTAATATCTAAATAGTGCCTGCTATGTCGAAGAACTCTACTTCACGGACATTTGATGTTTTCGGCGGTAATAATCTCTTTGTGGGCGTTTACTGCGGTCACCGTATTCAGTGCTCATTTCACCATGTCTAAACTTAGCATACGAAAATTCGATGGATGATTTTTCTGAGCGAGTSCCGAAAACTAAATATCAGTTATATTTATCGTTTTAACAATATTTTTATCTCTTCAAAAAGCATTAACACGAAAGTCAACCATTGTGTTTACAGCAGCTGTTTATATAATGCCCCATAAATTCTCGATGAGATTTAGGTCCGGACTTACTGCCGGCCATTCATATACATCAATGTTTTTGCTTTCCAAAAATCCTCGAGTTGACACACTTCATGAAAGGTGTTTTACCATTGTTTTTGAGATCTTTTAGAATGTTTTCAATTGTATTATTATGTCATTCTCGTTGCAATTTTTAGTATGGATATTCCAGTTTCCGGCCATGCCAGTATTTGATACTGCTCCTCAATAATTAGTTTGCTACTGCTTGGCATTTCTGTATAAACATTGATTAAAGGTAGACATTAAATTTACTTATGCGRATACTTACCGTCTTTAATATAAATAAACAAACAAACATGTATCTGGTCAATGAATTTTTAACCGGTCTGCATCTAATCGCGCCTAATAATGAACTGTTAAATATATATTACTTTTTTCGTTTTAGCTAATCCGAAATTTATCAAAAATTGCACACCAACATTATTAACATGTCATTTTTGGACAAACTGTTTATACCGCTTTTTAAGTAAGGCCACCACAAATATAT